TGTGCCTGAGCCCTGCGGCGCCTCCAGACCGCGTGTCTCCACTCCAGCCGACGCCTCCATGCGGAGTTCGCCGCCGAGCGGGACTGGGACCAGTTCCACCAGCCTCGGAGTCTCCTCCTGGCCTTGGTGGGGGAAGTGGGAGAGCTGGCGGAACTCTTGTGAGTAGAGGGGCGTTTGTTTGCCGGGTTCAGTTCCCCCATAATGCCTGAGCCCTGCGGCGCCTCCAGACCGCGTGTCTCCACTCCAGCCGACGCCTCCATGCGGAGTTCGCCGCCGAGCGGGACTGGGACCAGTTCCACCAGCCTCGGAGTCTCCTCCTGGCCTTGGTGGGGGAAGTGGGAGAGCTGGCGGAACTCTTGTGAGTAGAGGGGCGTTTGTTTGCCGGGTTCAGTTCCCCCATAACCTTGCTGTGCCGCGCTGGGGCTGAGCAGGAAGGCGAGGCGCAGGCGCAGACCCCGTGGGACCCCCAGCTCCTGGTGAAGCGGTAGAGCCCAGGCCGACCCAGGGTCGAGAGAGAGCACAGCCTGGGCTACGTGGACCCTGTCTCAAAAGAAACGGGCAAGGAGTATTGTGTAGAAGGCCTGCTCCAGCCCTCCAGACGGCGCTGCAATCCAAGCGAGGTGAGGGTGGAGGCAAGAAAGGGCGACTTCAGTTTGGAAAGGATCCGACGCTTGTCCTATCGGGAATGTTTTGTTCCTCTGAAATCCCCAGTGTCCAGCACATCCGAAGAGTAGGTACCGAGGATACGAGCAGTGGGCTGCGGAGGGGAGGGTAGGAAGTGGACCCAGAAAGACGAGATTGGGGCGGTGTGGACAGCGGGTCTGACCAAACTGTAGTGGTAGGAAGACCCTGTGCCGCAGGGTGCACCGAATCTCTGAGGGCTGGTGTAGACCGTGCAGTGGGAGCAAGGCCTAGACCGGGTCGGGCACTGTGAGCACCAGGGAAGGGCAGAGACAGTGAGACAGCGGCACAGGCGCAGGTGAACTAGCGTCCACTGTGAGCTCAGGCACCTAGAATGGAGACAGGGCTCCACCAGGGCAGGTGTGGTTCGCAGTGAAAGGAGACAGGTGAGAAATACGAACAGTAATTTTAAAGATCTAGAATTGGAACCAGTTTTATGAGGAAAACAACACAAAGGGGTGAGAGAGAAGGTAACAAAAGGATGTGAGCCAGTGTGAGGGCTGAGCAGAGACTGAGAGGGAGTTGGCTAGGGGAAAACCCTGGGAGTCACAGGGAAAGCACTAGAAGCAGAGGGAGTGGGGAGTGGAAGACCCTGGTGTAGCTGGCCTCTTCACAAGGCAGGAGGAGTCACCGTGGCTCAGGTCGGGGTGACAGGCAGAAGGTGAGCTAGCTTGGGCGTGAACTTCGAGGCCCAGGCCGGAGGTTTGGTCCCCAGTGGTAGTGGCCAGGGCTGGAGGTGAGAGGAATTGGGCTGCAGGTTTTGTCGGCAGGTGACAGGCTCTCTTGGCCACTCCTTAGCTCAGGTAGACCGAGGTCTAGCTGTTATTCGTGGGGTCTCTTCCAAGGGCCCGCATAGCTTGGGCTGTCCTTGCAGGAACTTCTTGGGGGTGGCTTTCCTTGCTGCGAGGACGGAGGTGCTCCTAAGACAGGAGGAACCTGCAGCCTACCTAGCAGCTGTGTGTGTCTTGTGTTCTCCTCCCAGTCAGTGGAAGTCTGATGCAGAGCCTGGCCCCCGAGCCTGGCCGCTGAAGGAACGGGCAGCTCTTCAGGAGGAGCTTAGTGATGTACTCATCTACTTGGTGGCATTAGCAGCCCGCTGCCACGTGGATCTGCCCCAAGCGGTGCTCTCCAAAATGGACACCAACCGGCAGCGCTACCCCGTCCATCTGTCCCGCGGCTCTGCTCGAAAGTATACAGACTTACCCCTGGGTGCCACCTCTGAAGACCGGGCTGCGGAGCCCTTGGACCTGGCCTGTGCATCCACAGGTCAGTGCTCCACAACTGCCACTAAGGATGGCAGCTGAAGAGCAGAGGGTGGCTCTGCTGTGGAACTTGTTCTAGTCCTTTCCTAACGGGTCTTGACCTGAGGACCCCTCTTCCTGATGTTGGAGGCCTGAGAGCCTCCAGACGATAGTCTCTCCCCCAATAAAATTGTTAAAGACAGCAACTTCTGGATTCTTCCTGAGTGGCCAGGGAGGCAATACCGCAACAGGTGCTGCAAAGGGGTCCTCATACCTCTCTGTTGGACCTCCTACCTGCAGGAGGAGCCAGTTCCCAGCCAACTCCCAATGGGATCTCATCCAAGTGTCTTGCCCTTCTGGACCTGTAAAGGAGACTGGAGGCTGTCATAGGGTCCAGACTGAGGCCAGCGTGTATCTTAGTGGAAGAGAGCTTGCTTGCCCAGCATGCATGAAGCTCTGGGTTCAATTCCTAGTACAAAAAAACAAAACAAAAATAAACATCCAACTGTACACTCTAGAGCCAGGTTGCCTGGATTCCAATACTTATAAATTAGATAAGATATTCATCAAATTGCTTCATTCTTCTTCATCTTTGTTACTTTCCTCCTCTAGTAAAATGAAAATATTATCTACCTGGTGGAATGGTAAGGATTAAGTCATTAGCGTGTACAGGGTGGTGCCTGATACACAGTGAATAATAACTGCTAAGTTATAGTTACTGTCTGTTTGCCTTTTCAGTGTAAAGGTTTTAGGGCCCAGAATTAAGAAATCAGGATCACAACTCAGAGTCAGACCTCTGATTTAGAGCAAAACAGGAATTCCTCTCTGGGCTCCTTGGTAAAAAAAGAAAACCCATTCCCGTAGGTCAATTTCTTTTTTTTCACTTTTGGTACCAGAGGTGGAACTCAGGACCTTGTGCTCATGAGGCAGATCCATGTGGCGCCACTGAGCTAAATCCCCAGCCCATAGGTCAATTTCTTGTCCTTTCTCTCTGGTTAAAGACTGTTGAGTCTACCTGTATGGTCTCTACCATGTGTGACATTGTGCATGTCACTTCTTTCTGGGATGTCTCTGGCCTGCCACACTTAGAGTGAGTAAATCCAGGGAAAGAACATTTAGCCCTGGAGTGGTGGCGCTCGCCAACAGCCCCAGCACCATGTGAGGCTGGGAAGGGAATGGCAAGTTTGAGCCCAGCCTGAGCAACTTAGCAAGTGCGACCCTATCTCAAAGTTAAAATGAATAAAAGAGCTAGGAATGTACTCAGTGTACTAGTGCTGGGCTCAGACCCCAGACCAAAACAAAACAAACTACTTTTAGGGCCTGGGAGTGTGCTCTGTGGAAACACACTTGCCTAGCATGTGCACAGCCCTGTGTTTGATCCCCAGCTCTGCAAAAATAAAAAATAAAACTTTAAGGATTCACAGTGGTCACTGACTTGCTGCTTCTTGGTCAATTTCAGTAAAATAAGACAATCCACTTTACTGCCTTTTTTTTAAGGTTTGTTTTGAGATAGGGTCTCACTTTGGCACAGGCTGGTTTTGAACTCGGCCTCCCCAGTGCTGGGATTATAGGTGTGTGCCACCATGCCCAGCTTGGCCTTTCTTTTAAAAGTTATACATTTGGTTTTATGAGATAGGATCTTATGCTATGTAGTTCAGGCTGGCCTCGAACTTGGAGCAGTCCCCCTGCCTCAGCCTTCTAAATGCTGGGATAACAGTGTGCCACCATGCCCAGCCAAAATTATTTTTATTTTGATTCAGTTATCCAGCTAAGTTTGAGTTAAATTATCTGGGCTGGACTTGAATTTGTGATTGTCCTTCCTACGGGCATGTGCCACTAAGCCTGACTGCCGCTCTGCCTTATCCTGTGGCCTCTTCCTCCACAGGTGAAACGGACTCCATCAACTACTTCCATTTTATGTTGCCATACCCACCTCTCATCCCTTTCCAAAGATATTTATATCTAATTTTATTCCTTCTCACATTATTTTCTTTTCTTCATACATATCTTCATACACACATATATATATATATATATTTTTTTTTTCAGGGCCTTTCTTTGTGGTTAGGCTGGTCTTAAAATGTAATAAATATGTAGCCCAACTTGGCCTCAAATTCCTGGTGATCCTCTATCCTCAAAAGCTTGAGTGCTGGGATCACAGACAGTCAGGATTTTTTTTTTTTTTTTAAATGACAAGATCTTGATATTTTGCCCAGCCTGGCCTTGAATTTCTGGGCCCATTAGTCTGCCTCAGTCTCCTGAGCAGCTGGGGCTACAGGTGCATCACTGAGCCCCCCAGCTAATTTCTCTTTCATTAGCCCTACCCAACACTGCCTAAAGCACATTTCAGTCTTTGTCCTTTTAACAAAAGAAAACCAATGTCCAGGATTTCCCTGGCTTTTCACAGCAGAGCACTCACGGCTCCTTGTACCCACTCTCCATGTGTGCCCCACCCTGCCCCTCCCTGGATGTACTTGTCCTTGTCCCAGGGATTGTGGTGCACAGCAGACACCAGGGCAGCACCTGGCAACTGATCTCTCATTCCTCTTGGCACCCTCTCCTGGACTGGGCATCCGACTCCTGAGCTGGTATCAGATACTCCTACCTCCTCCCAGCCTCCTCCTCACTCAGCAGTTCCAGATTGGGGTGTAACTGTCCACAAGCTGACCCCCTATCCAGTGGTGGTGCCCTGCAGGGGCCCAAGCTGAATGAGGTCGGCCCTACTTCCCCTTTCCCTCAGCCCCAGGTGCCCGCCCACTGACTCCTGTAAATTCCAGTCCTCCCCTCTGATCCCCCAGGGTTCCCTGCTGCCTCTGATCCCTTCTTCGTCTGCCTTCCAGGGCCCCTTATGGCCCATTGGCCAAACCTGTCCCCACACTGCATCCCAAGGACTGAGACTGACATGAAGTTTTAGGGGTTCAGTTCTTAATTGCTCCATCCCAACTTTGTCTTGACCTTCAAGACCCCACTTAAAAATGACACCGAGGCCAGTTCAAGGCCAGACTGAGCAGTTAGGGAGAACCTGTCTCAGTAAAACAAGGGCCAGGGCTGTAGCTCAGTGGTGGAGCCCTTGTGTAGCATGCCAAAGGCCTGGGTTTAACCCCCAGCACCACCAAAAAACAAAAGACAAAGCATCTCTAAACTCTTAAGACTCTGTTTGTTTGGGTTTTTTTGTACCCGAGATCGAACTCGGGTCTTTGTGCTTTTGAAGCAGGCGATGGGACCACTGAGCTAAATCCCTGGCTCAAGACTGTTCTTGGAGATTCCTCCTGTCTGACTTCCATCATGGTTTCAGTTAACAACTGGATTGCTCTTCCCTACCATTCACTGGCTGGGTCTGGATTTCCCATCTACAGAAACAGGTAAGGAAGGGCCAGGTGTAGTCGAGCAGGCCTGCCCAACCATGTTACTGGGAGGCTGACGCAGGAAGATGGAAAGCTCCAGCCTGGCCTGGGCAACTTGAGACCCTGCCTCAAAAAAAAAAAAAAAAAAGTATGGGCTGGAGATGGGGCTTACAGCCCCAGGTTCAATCCTCAGTACTATAAAAAACCCAAATGAGGTAACATACAGCTCTACATAATGAAGCCCAGAAATCTTAAGCGCAGCGCTGGTTCCTCTCCTCCACTGCACTGACCGCCCAGGCTCACACCTTGTTCACCCACCTCCGCCGAGTGCAGTGCTCAGGGCTTGAAAGCCAAATCGGAATCAGCAGGCCCGGTGGAATGACGCCCGCACCACTGCCCACTCGTTAATTCCTGGGCTGGAGAACCCCCAACGCACCCCACTCACAGGCACGGGTGGGGTGAGAGAAGTACTTTATTCACCAATACGGACCAAAAAAGGTGTGCCGAAGGAGGGACAAGGCTTCCAGGGATCCCGGAGGCCACTTTCGGCCCGGCCCGGCCCACCTTCTCCCGGCGCGGGGCGGGGAGGGGCTATCCGGTTACCACAACCAGGCCGACCGGATGCGCCCCTCTCCGGCCCCGGTCC